ATGAGGTAAAGGGAGCTGTAGGGCATCACAACTCATTAGGTTTATATAATACACTCAAGCTAGACCTAAAAGGTCTAAAATACACCTACATAATAAATGAACAAGAAGAAAATATTGTCTACCAAAGTGGGGATATGATCCACCTTAGACGACAAGTGACAGGGGGTGCCATGCACTAGGTGCTACCTTTTGGCTGTTGGAAATGGCTGAGGTGCTGGTCACCAAGGTGTTGCTAGATATACCCCCAATAAAAAGTATAGATTTCAATATAAATTTATACTTTTATATATTAACGTAGTTACACCCTACTGGATTTTTAAGCAAACAAAAGGTGCTGTTACTTCCTAGCTTGGTTAACTAATTGGAGCTAAATTTAAGAGGTAGCAATTGCTCAAGGCACCTGCCTTGCAAAGACTTCCCATTAAGCTGCATTAGGAAGTCTGTGATTGGACAACCACAGAAAGTCTGGGCTGGGTTAGAAGAGGAGGACTTGCACAGACAGCAGACAAGAGAACTAAGTTTTGCAAGCTGGTTTATATATATATATATCCCCAATGAAAAATTGTGTAATTTCATTTGGGGTATATCTACTAAAGAGCGATTTTTATTTCTTTTGAATTTGGGAAGTGGAGTGTCCCTTTAACCCCTTAAGGACAAAACTTCTGGAATAAAAGGGAACAATGACATGTCACACATGTAATGTGTCCTTAAGGGGTTAAATACATGCATGTTTCCATTGGGAATATATCTTCTAAACAGTTATTTAAATGTTATTTTGTTTAGTATTAGGTCAGTGGAGTGTCCCTTCAAAGTGTCCATTTGAAATATTGTGAGGAATGCTTACACATATGTCAAAAACTGTTTTGATTGATATGAGCAAACCATTATAAACACTTACGCATATCAAAAAGTTGAAGGCATATGAGCCCAAAAGAACATTGTACATGTCCAATATACCCTCACTGTGGGGTATCACAATGTATAGACTTCTAACAGCAAAAGTGTGTCCACTAACTCAGCTTCATATATATTAAAAATTTAGTGAAAGGAACCACCATTTAGCCCTTCTGGCTCCCCCTTGCCTCCCTAATTTTATGGCAAGACAGGAGGCTTCATATTTGCTTATCTTTCTTTACTGTAACTCCCAGCAGCAAAGAAATGGTTAACAATGTTGTATGGAAAAATCAACCAATCATAACATATCTCAACTACAATATAGTGTCATCAGACTCCTCCCACTTCCTCTTTCTTTGCTGCTTGCCTCCCAGGTGAGTCTGCTCCAATTACATTGCCTCTCTAATTTAGGTTTATATGTCTTTATTTGTATTTTGTGCTCTACTTCACCTCAGGAAACTTGTTAGTATTTAATACCCTTTGATTTATTATTTATATATTTTCTCATTATCTATATATTTATAAGTTGGTATTGTCCCTTTCATTTTTTTTTTGTGCACTTGTGATTTTAGCCCTTTCCTTATTCTGTTGGCTTTTATTTTATGAACTGGCCTTTAAATTCGCTGCCGCTCCGTTTGCATTAAAACGGAGCGCTCTGCTAATTCGTTGTGGTTTTCAATCAGCTGGCCGCGGCTCTCCTCAGAAGTAGAGCCGCGGCCCATTCTCGCCATTCACCTCAGCCGCGGACTCCATTTCCCATGAGCCCGCGGCTGCCGACTTCCCGCCTTTCTCTTTCTCCCACCCATTCGCGTCTGCCTTCACAGTTTTTTTCCCGCCTTTTTACTAACGGCGATATCGCGGCGGCCATCTTTCGCTGCCTCAGTGTCCCTCCAACGGATCTTGCACTCTTTAGCAGGCACATAGGAGTTTCTTCAGACTGAATAACCTCTTGCTTGGCTTGTGACAGGTAGGTTTACTGCCTGCTGCCTCCATCTCCTATTTTTATGAGCATTTATTTTACACACGATCAGTATACTGATCTCTCTCTCATCTGCTTCTTGCAGGTTTGCTCTACAGGACCAGTCTGCTGTCTTTTTGGGTGAGCCCCTCTCCCTGTTTATTGCCTGATTATTAGTGTGGTTGATTTTGTATTTTAATATATTTTGCCAAACTTTGTGTGGCTGAGCGTTTCTTCTTTTTTCACTGTTGTGGGTGAACCCCACTTGTATATTATACACTCAAACTGTGTACATAACACACTACTGTGTGAAATACCTGTGTGGCTGACACCATCTACAGAACACACTACTGTGTGACATAGCTGTGGCTGACACCACCTACAGAACACACTACTGTGTGACATAGCTGTGGCTGACACCACCTACAGAACACACTACTGTGTGAAATAGCTGTGTGGCTGACTCCCACCTGATTTATTTTGTGGGTGACACCCATTTCTCTCTGTACATATTTTATATATATATATATATATATATATATATTTATAATTGCTTTTCCTAGTGGGTGATCCCCACCTCATTGATTGTACAATATCTTCATATTGTCCCTAACTGCCCAATAGGGTGACCCCCTATCAACTGCTTCTTCAATCATACTTTGCTGTGCCAAGCATTTGTGGGCGAACCCCACTGTTTTGACGTCTCGTGGGTGACCCCCCACCTGTCATATATTGTAATTGAGTGGCCTCATCTTAATTTGGAAACCATTTACTTCTCTAAGAAACACATTATGTCAGACCGCCAAGACCCTGCCATCTCTGCCGAACTTAAGGAATGGCTTTTCTCCACTATAGCGGAGTCCATTCCTAAGGCTCTGGCAGCCTACCATGAACGTAACACAGAGGTACACCCCTCTACACAACAACCCTCTGATTCTGAGGACTTCCATGTCTCCGACCAAGATAACGCCCCGCGCAAGAGACCCTGGAAAGGGAATAGCGCTACTGCGGGCAAGGGCAAAGCTCCTGCTAAGGTCATTAAACATTCTAACCCATACGTTACGCAGGATGCTGCAGACCCTCTAGAGGGTTCTACTTCACGTTTGTCTGGCCATATTTTAAGTGACTATGACCCCAATTACTCTGATGAGGATCCCATGGTGAATGCGCCCCAGGATTCCTCAACATCGGAGTTCGTGAAAGAAACTTTCCTAGGTCAGGATCCCAAGAGTAAGGTGCCTGACTCAGACACCCTCCTGGATGCCTCAGGCCTTCCCCTTTTTGACCCAAGGGTGATCCGTCATCCGCGTTCAGCAGAATGGGCTCCCACAGATCATATTGCTAATTTCTGTAAGCTGTGGCTTCGCAAGCCCCTCGAAAAAGAAATAAGAAACAAATTAAGGGCTGAATGCCCAAGACCTACTATCCCAGGCAAAGTTGCCTCTACCCCTGAATTCGACCCCATGCTGGTCACTTATTTGACGAAATCTGGTAAAGACCCTCGTAAGGGTATTGAGCAGGGTTTGAAAGCGACCCAAGACAAATTATTAGACATTTCAGGTCCTATTATTCAAATATTTATACTCGCAGATGAGGCACTCACCAGCGGTGAACTAGATCCGCACATTATTAGAGAATGGGCGCAGAGAGCCCTATGCTTACTAGGCAACGCCAATGTGGCTATTTCAATTGAGAGACGCAAAGCAGCACTTTACAAAATCGATGCCAAATTAGTAGACTTGAGTACTAAAGAACTAGGCCCAGAGGCCGATGGTCTTCTATTTGGTAACAGTTTCATGCGAGACCTCTCCAAGCATGTCTCAGTTTTTACCACACTCAATAAAGCCCAGTCCTCCCTACGTAGGGTGTTCCGCTCCAATACTCAAAATCGTTTTTCTGGGAGAGCTGGTCCCTCAAGGGGCCGAGCTACCAGTAGAGCAGCCTTTAAAGGCTACAGGCCCCGACCCACAGAGTATTGGTCCACAGGATATTCACGACCCTACCACAGATAGCTGTTCAGCACCAGAGGCTCGATTCGAGGACGTGGCTCTGCATCCCTGCGCGGACGCACTGCTTCAGGTAATGGACCTTGCTTATTTGAAAAATGTACCAATCGCAGGTCGATTAACTTTCTTTTTCCAACAGTGGAAGCTTCTTTCTCAGGATCTTTGGATCCTTCATACAGTCACAGGTTTCAAAATAGATTTTTTCACACACCCAGTTCAATACTCTCCTCCGACACCCTTAGAGATGTCAAAAGCAGACACTCTAACCTTGAACACAGAACTGAACAAATTGGTACACAAAGGGGCGATCGAACCTTCGCCTTTCCCTTGCACCTTCCTCAGCAACATATTTCTTGTTCGGAAAAAAACGGGAGATCACCGTCCCTTTATCAACCTCAAGGCATTGAATCTCTTTATCACGTACCGTCATTTCAAGATGGAAGGTATCCATCTTCTCAGAGACTTGCTCTGCGTGGGAGACTGGTTCTCCAGATTCGACCTCAAAGATGCTTATCTGACGGCCCCTATCGCACCAAGTCACTGTGCCTTCCTCCAATTCCGGTGGCAAGGTGAAATTTGGCAGTTCACCTGCCTCCCTTTCGGACTTTGCTCTGCCCCTTGGTGTTTCACCAAGTTAATGAAACAGGTCATGGCGCTCCTTCGTTCTCAGGGCATACGTTCCATTATATATTTGGACGATATCCTGATCATGGCCCAGGACCAACAATTACTTCGCAAACACACACACATGACCTCTGCCCTCCTTCAAAACCTGGGTTTTGTCATAAATTACCAGAAATCAGATCTGGTACCTTCTCAGATAGTCCAGTTTCTGGGTTTTCAGATAGATTCAGTTCAAGCAACTCTACAGTTACCCTACCCCAAAATCAAAAACATAAAACGAGAGATTCAAAAATTACTCAGGTCACAGCGACCTCGGCTCCACGACCTTTCACACGTTCTGGGTCTCCTATCCGCATCAATTCAGGCTATTTTTCCAGGGCCCTTGCACTACAGAGCAATGCAACGGCTGAAAACTTCCTATTTACATCGCTCGACCTCTTACGATCAATTAATTTCCCTAACGGACGAAGTTCTCATCGAACTTCACTGGTGGCTTCGCAATATGGAAGCCTGGAATGGGAAAGCGATTTTCGGATCTCAACCAGATTTTATTCTGGAATCCGATGCCAGCCTACTCGGTTGGGGTGCTACTTGCGCCCAAACATACACAGGGGGTCTCTGGTCCCCATAAGAACAGGCACTTCACATAAATTGTCTCGAGCTCATTGCCGGATCCTTCGCGATCCGCAGCTTTGCCAAAGAAGCCTCCAACTGCTCTCTGGTACTTCGGATGGACAACATCTCCGCAGTACGGTACGTAAATCGACTCGGAGGGTCCAAATCGAAACTACTGTCAGACCTCACCAAGGATCTGTATCAGTTCTGCTTAGACAGGAATCTATCCATTTGAGCAGAATATCTCCCAGGACCCGACAACTTAGTCGCGGATTGGTTTTCACGTCACTGGAGGGATGCCAGCGACTGGCAATTAGATCCTCTCCTATTCCACCACATTCACCTATTGCGGGGACCGCTCACTCTCGACCTCTTCGCGTCTCGGCTGAATCGTCAGACAGACGATTTTTTTTCCAGCTGGTTACCAGACCCTCTATCTCTAGGTGTCAACGCCTTTCTCCAACCTTGGCCACGGAGCGGAGCCTATGCCTTCCCTCTTTTCTCAATGATTCAACGTACCCTCCACCAGGTCAAATCACAGGGGGTCAGGATTGTGATAGTTACCCCTCTATGGCGGGCCCAGACGTGGTTCCCCACTCTTCTGGAACTTTCCACAGATTATCCCATCATCCTACCTCGCTCACATCGGGTCCTCAAGAACTCAACGGGCGACTACCACCCGCTCACCCTACAGGGCCACCTTCAATTAGTGGCCTGGACAGTTTCAGGGGTGCTTGGCATGTCGCAGGACTTTCAAGCACTGCTCAAACTCTCCTGTGGGATTCATGGGCTCCAGGGACCAGGCGAACCTATCTCACCGCATGGCGAGTTTGGGTCAGCTGGTGTCTGGAGAGGGATTTCGATCCCGTTTCAGCATCTCTCTCATCCATTCAAAATTTTCTATCATCACTTTTTCGATCAGGGTAAATCATACCGGTCGATTAATATTTTTCGTTCCGCCATTTCGGCGGGCCATGACCCTATTGATAATTTCTTAGTTGGAAAACACCCTTCTGTGTGCAGACTTTTACGAGGCATTCGTTTGACAAGGCCACCCTCTGCCAAATATTCTGGGTTCTGGGATATATCTCGAGTCTTCGCACTGTTAGAGTCCTGGCCCCCTAACGAATCGTCCTGGCCCTTCGACAACTCTCTGCAAAACTAGCCCTGCTACTGTGCCTGGTGTCCTTCCGCAGAGTTTCTGACGTTCAAGTTTTCGATTCACACGCTGTCTCCTTCGCACCGGAAGGTGTCCGATTTACAATCACTAGGCGCACTAAGACGAACTCATAGTCTGTTTTTTACCCGTACTTTCCCGACCGGCCAGCCCTCTGTGTGGCTCTATGTACCCTTGGTTACACGGAGGCAACTGCCACCCTACGTTCCCCTACCGTGCCCCTTTTCATCTCTTACGTCAGACCTCACAAACCGGTCTCTTCCCCCACTATCGCTCGCTGGATAAGATGGTTACTTATCCAAGTGGGAATTGATAGATCATTCGGAGCCCACTCCGTTAGGGGAGCGGCCGCATCCTCTGCCTTTCGTGCCGGCAGTTCACTGGCGGATATTTTGTCCTGCGCAGATTGGTCAAGGGAATCTACCTTTCGAATTTTTTATTTTAAACCAACACCACATGCGGCTTGTTCTATTATTCAAGAGCGTTAAAACAGCAAATATGAAGCCTCCTGTCTTGCCATAAAATTAGGGATTATTCTAGCTTTCAGTGAACGAATAATCT